TAACGAAAACAGGCCAAATAATAGAGAGTCAATTGGTCATTTATATCAAAAAAATTACCTACGGAATTTGATGTTTCCAATTACATGAGTTTATTTGTGTTTAGTTTGGAAAATCAGCTGAAACGTTTTTATTGCTCATTGATGTACAATGTTAAGCGTAATTTTTAAACGTTTCTAACTTGTTCAGCACGTTTATCGTTGGCTTTGGACGATTTACTGTATTATTTAGTCCTATTTATGTTATCCACCAGCAATTTGAAGTCGTATGAGCCGATGAGGTCAGAGGATTGTTCCTCAACGACGATTTCTGTGTAGACTTGTTATCTTCAATAACAAATGTTGAAAATATAATTAATTTACGTTCACACATGATTTTCACACCATTAAAACCGTTACAAAGCAGAATTCAGACATGCGGACGGGCTGAATAATAAATAACGCTAAAAGATTCGATGAACCTAAAAACAGCGAGAACGGACGGACGAAGTTAGTTTCTACGAAATTATCCATAACTTGGACCAAACTATTAGGGCAATTAACATCTGCAATGATACTATCAACATGCTAATCCGTCTCCCTATGCGCCAGTCTACTTCGAAAATCGATTGATTTTGGTATGTCTCAAGAGTGTCAAGCTATTTTAAGGGATAAAAGTCAAAACTTTTTAGGAGTAGTTTCAAGTTTAGTTTTCGAAAAGAGGGATAGATCTGCATAGTGAAGGGTTATAGTTTTAGTGACTGGGAGTTTTTGGTGGCCCTGAAAAGTGCCGGTGTTGTTTGGTAGCGTCGTGACGATCAATCGAGGCAGGGACCTGTGTGTGCCGTTCGTAGTAGTCCGTGAACAGAGAACCGTTCGCTGAGATCACGGGAGCCGTGAGTCGGTTAACTCTGCAGCGGTTGAACGGACTCGGGTGCAGCAATTAGCCGAGTGCAGCAGTTGGCCATTATAGCCAAGTCGGCTGTGCTGAGAAGGCGAGATCCAGGTTAATTCTGCGAGTACCCTTGCTGTCGTCGTTGCCGATGTCGGTGTTCCATTGGTGTTTTACGAGAGCTCGTCTGGTTGACAAGTCTAGAGGTGTGATGTGAGACCTCGTCGGGAAGACGAGTCTGAAGTCAATGGGGCCGTGCCCTGCTTACATTCAAAAGGGCTCAACTCTGGCTGCAGACCATTACAATGGGTAGTGGCACCTAGCGGGTAACATGGTAACGACAGGTGGCCACAACATAGTGTTTTTTTTTCGGAAGAGATTGGATAGAATAGAACGAGGCAAGCAAAACACATTATTGTCCGTAAATTAAACGTGCTAAAACGAAAAGTTGTTGAAGAAATTTGTAAAAGTAAGAAGTAAGTGTGGTGGCCATTCACTGCTTTAACAATGTTTCCTTCCACGTTTTAGCCAATGAGCTTGCAGCATCTTTGTATATAAGCGCAATCTGCTTATTTCATACACGCCGACGAAGTCATTCACAGTAATGGAGAAAGCCGTCAGCATTAGCTACAGAAATGCAGATACTCTCAGTTCAAATTATGAACAAGGTTCCAGTGAACCCAGTTTAAACCGTGATTTGTGCTACGAGCCCTCATAGGACGGTACCAAAGAGTCCATGGGCTAGGGAAGTGAGTCCGAAGGATTACGTTATAAATGGTGTCAATTAGGTTGAGTTAGGGTTAATGTTAAGGACTGGTTAGGAGGTATTTGGTATTAGAGGAAGTATTGCCTAGTTAAGTGAATGTTAAGAGCTAAATAAGAATTTTGGAAAAGTAACATCTCTTGATTTATGGCAATGTGAAAAATGTGATTCTAACTTACTGTGATGGTATTGTTTTGAAATCATTATTTTTGATTATTGTGTGAAGACTGCGAGAAGCCAAAACGAGCTTGAAAGTGAGAATGGACCGGAAATGACAACTACAAGTTCGCTAACGACAAGAGGAACTGTCACAATACATGAAAATAAATATCCGGCCAATGAGGACCAACTAATTATTGAAAAATGAGCAAAACCAAATGTACGTTGTTCAAAAGACGGATTACTTAAATAAATTTAAAAATGTTGGATTTGTAGGTAAATGAAAATGAAGATTCCATTTGTTCTAATCCAATGATAAACTGTGTGTTTTATCTTCACGTATAAGATAAATGAAATGAAAATTGTGACATACTTAGACGTGAAACGGGTCAAGATTGTCTCGATTTTTGTTCAATTCGGTGATCAACTCTTCCTAATGAGAAATAACCGGTCGGATCGACTCGACCGAGGACATTTCTCAGTCGAGGCGAACTTGAACGCGGATCGATCTGGACGTTTCCGTTTCCTTGCGGTTCCATTTCATTGACGGCGGTCCTCGTCGGGAGGGAAAGGATGCCGATTGTGACGAAGACGGACTTGGATATCCGGCGATGAATCGTAAAGGACGTCCGCTAAGCCGGACTGGCCACAAGGACTCGGACGGCCACAGCCGAAAGCGCGGGACATTGCGGAACCAGACCTACGAAATCTCTCCCCTCGGACAATCAACAATTCAACAGGAAATCACCGAAAACTCCGATTTTAAACAAGATTCCTATCGATTGGAAAGAGAGGAAACCGTGAACACATTTTTGGTGGCCCGATGGATCCCGACCTTCCTTTCACCATACCACGATATTTCCCACCAAACCGAGCTACGCGGCTAATTAAGCTCTTTTTTAAAACATAGATCCTTATAAATTTATTTTAATTAATATAAATAATGCTGAACACGTTGTGGTCTGGTGACATGGGAAAAATCTATGCGGGGGGTAATCATTCGAGAAATGTGAACTATACTCAAAAACAAAAACCTGACCGGTATTTTCTTGTTTATTTCAAACTAAATGTATGAGGGCCGTCTCCTAGGCATCGAGTCAATAAGCGATCCGATTTCGTCTTGTGAAACAGAAGCTCGTTCTTCAACAAGAGCTGTTTGAAGCTGTACGCTTGTTAGAGGCGGCGAACCATATCCAACCCGTCCTTCTCAACCTAACATGTCCCATAAGTACTCTATGGGATTCATTGCAGGAGAATGTGTTAACAAATTCATACTCTACATCCTCCAAGTTATGGGTAACAAGTCGAGCTACTTGCAGCCGAGCATTATCATGCACACGAAGTTTTCACCAATAAATGGAGCGAATGGGGACTACAGCTTCCAGAACTTCCTCAATGTATTTTAGTGCAGTCAAAGATCCTGTCTGTATCATAATAAGCTCGGTACGGCATGGCCGTTGATTCCACCATACTGTAGCAACTGCTATGGTACTCTCTCCAATGATGCTGACGAGAAAAACCAACACTGGGCTTCACAGTACGACCTGATCGGCAATTAAAAAAAACACTCGAATTGCAAATTCTAGGAGGAAAGTCACACTCTCGGCGGATAGAGTTAAACAAGCACGCCTACTGGAGGAAGGCCTACTATAGGTGATGTAGTAGCTTCAGAACTGTCCTATAGTAGGCCTTCCTCCAGTAGGCGTGCTTGTTTAGCTCCATCCGCCGAGAATGTGACTTTCCTCCTAGAATTTGCAATTCGAGTGTTTTTTTAATTTCTTCTCAACACCTAATACGAGCAGGTATAAAGTGGAACCAAGGGACTTTGTCTCGGAGAAATACATGTTTGCAGGTTTCCAGAACCCTAAGTACAAAAACCAATCTGGCACTCTTCCGGAACATTCTCTCATGGACCACTGTTAACTGCGCAGGACTGCTACATGGCTTAATTGTTTCTTGGTGGACAATACAGTCACCTGTTGTGTGACACCTGTTAATTCCTAGAATACTGGATGTAAGCGGTCTGGTTCGAATTGCCGCCCTGGTAATGCGTGATGGCGCGCCGAAAATAGATATCCATGTAATCATCAGGCTTCCGCTACAGATTCTCTCATGATATCTTCAAGTAAGTAAGCTTCCGGCCACCTAGTGAACTTGTCAATGACTGTTAAACGTCAATGACTGTTGCCGCGTGATGTTGGTAGTGGACCCTACAATGTACACATGTATATCGAATCTAGATCCTGGCTGTGAGACTGTACGTCAAAACACTTTCACTCGCTGACAACTCCGCACCTATTTAACAATATCAGCGGTCATCCTGGGTCCAAGTAAAATCTTCTTTCAATGAAACGATTTGAACCTTTCGCTATGAGATGGCCGAGTACACTTAAGAGCCAAAAAACATGCTGACGTAATTCTTCTGGGGTATTGCTTTGTTTGCTGATGTTTCGCACAGCACTCGCTTAGCTGTGTAGCAAGCTGATCCATTTTAATTGAAATGTAAGGTTCTTCATCATTTCCGGAACTGTTGCATCACATGTCTGTTTTTCTGCCAAGTGTTCAAAATTATCTATGCAGTCTGTTCCTTCTATCATGTCTGTTTTAGAGCTCGCCCTTACATTCCTGACCACTACCTATCAAGATAGCCGTTAAATGGCGATTCCGTAGTGCGGTAAGAGCAATAAACATACATCGTACATCGCGGTCGACCACTACCTTCTTTCCATCGAGACTTCCGGTGACCCTAAACGTCCGTAGACTATCGTGGATAGTAGAGGGCGGCACGCCGAGGACTTGTGCTATGAAATGGTTTCAATGTAAGAAGGTTTATAGGCCCATTCAGGGCCTTTGTATAAAAAAAATCTATATTTGTCGTTTTAATTAGTACCGCTGCATTTGGTTCCTAAATTTCCAATTTTAAAATTTTGCATTTATCTATTTTATTTCACTCTGTTATAAAGGTTATCTATCCAACCTGTCAAATTGGACTAGCACGGTCCCTATAGGCCAAAGACCGATTCCCAAATTTATTCAAGATATTTCATTTTTTCAGGTTACTTCTAACTGTTACAACTTTATTCCACAAATCGTACCTCATAAAATGTTAATCCCACTGTAAATGCGATTACACCAATGCAAAGAGCTTGGTAAACGATATGAGATTTTTTTTAATTGTATCTCAAGCGAACAAAACACAAAATCACTTACAAGATAAACTTCTACGAGTTCACAAAGTTCCTCTTGAAAATTTAAGTAAGTTTTCTTTTGGTTCTTTAAATACTGACAGATTTGGCACATACAGAAACGTTGCCCCTAACGAGGTTTAAATACTCGAAATTTTTTCAAAGGTTATCACTAGTTTAAAATTTACGTTTTTTTTTTTTTTTGCCGTATGATCTATGCATGTTAACCATGGTGATGAATTCTTATGTGTTCATATTTGGGGGGGAAGGGCCAGAGGCGACGGTGGGAATCGAACCCACGACGCGGGCGTGAGAGTCCGAGAGTCTCTCACGCTAACCACTCGGCTACCGCGGTCCCCAAAATTAACGGTTAATTACTAAAAATGTTTATTCAAATTTGCCTCAAAAAAATTAGTCTTTAGAATTTTGAAACTTTTATAAAAAAAAAAAATTATAATCGTACAAAGTATATACAAAAATGAAGTATGTTTATTCAAATTTGCCTCAAAAAAATTAGTCTTTAGAATTTTGAAACTTTTATAAAAAAAAAAAATTATAATCGTACAAAGTATATACAAAAATGAAGTATGATATAAAATAGAACATAAGAAAAATCTTTAGAGCAGTAAAATCTGTCAGAAAACGATGTCAGGCTTGCTTTTTCAAAAAGGTTTGGACATTTACTACAACTATTTACTCTTATTGTGTCAATATTATTTATAAATATGTATCGCAAGATTATATAATGTATTATATTACACAGGCAGTAATATGGTTTTTTAATCTTTTGAGGGAAAAGCTCTGTTTGGAATGCTTACTTGACCCCTACGCAAAATAAGTTCCATATTCGGACAGAATCATCACTTGTGTTGTAAAATGGGCCCTGCCAAACTTGTTACTTTCACCCTTACGAAGGATAACCACTGCTCCAATCCACAATAGTATCCCTCTCACACCAGCTAATCTAGCCTCCTATCAAGAGTCTATAGAAAAACGACGTGCATGCAAGCTGGAACGCTTCATACTTCGTAAAAGACTCCTGGGCAAACGGCCGAAACTAACTCTACAAAACAAACGCTTCATTTGAGTCCCATTTGTACGTGCGTAAGTAGATAAAAAAGGTCGGTTCTGGGCCAGCCTCCGCCACGCCTTCACCGCCTCCGCCTCACATCCTCCTCACCACCTCACTCCACCACACACAGCCTCTACCAATCAAAGACCAACCCCGCTTCCAAGTAGTGAACCCCGGGAAACGTTCGTCGCCGTCCTGACGGGGGGATTCACACTGATCCCCACGGCATGGTACGGTGCGAAAAGGCTAAAGGGGCTCTGGTGTCCTATCCCCAAGTGAGGTACTCACTTTCCTAACCACTCCTCACTAAATAGACTCCTATCACCAACCCCTCTCCCTCTATCCTATCAGTCCCCTAAGAAGAGTCTTGGGCTTGACAGAAAACAGCATCCGCCCCAATCAAAGGTGTCATGCGTTCCGTGCCGAGTGATTCACTGGCAGCCGGGGTTAATGTGGCTGTCTTGAACGGAGCCTCNTAAAACTTCAAAACGTTGAATATTAAAAAATAAAGAAAAATAATTAAAAACATAAAAAGCAAATAAAAATAAAACGTTTGCTTTTACCTTGTTGAATTTCCAGTACTTATTTTCGGATGCAACGTGAGGTCGAACTGTGAATGAACGTACGTAAGATTTATATTATGATAATCTGTTTCAATCAACGTTTTTATCCTTCGAAGTCCAAAGTTTGACAATTTGTAGCATTTATTTTCCCGAGACATAAACACATGATGTTTCTTTGGCCCTTTTGATTGTTATTATTGCATTAAAGTATGTATTGGTGTGAAAGCGCCCTCACTGAGGCAAAATGTCATAAAAGAAGTTGCACTTTTTCATGTACATATGCAGTTGATGTCTCAAAAGTTCGACCTGTCTTTTTTAAGCGATTTCGTCACTTTGTTTTCTTGTTTGGAACCGTACATTTTTGATCTTACACCCGCAAATTCTAAACTTTGTCCACAGGTTTAGTCATAGTGTATGTTAATCTTTTGTAATTAAGTGGAAGTTTGGATGTTGGAGTCTGTTTAATTCGTTTCGTTTTAGTGTTGTGTACGGATTCCAAGTAAGTCGTTTGTTCAGGTCTCAAGTAAAGTAGTGAAATCTCATTAAAGTAAGCAGGTGGTTGTGGTATACGTCTGAGTGAGACTTTAATGTATTGGCTCTTCGTTTCATTTATTTCTCTACTTTTTAAACATCGAGGCACTACAAATAATAATATAATAATAAGAGCCTTTATTTGCAACATACAATAAAGTTTTTAAGAAAAAGTGTTATTAGACATAGAATTAAAATGAAATTTCAGGTCAAAATCATGACCTACACGAGCTAACAAATTTTACAACAATAATGAGAAGGATAAATTTAAGCGTCACCAGTTTAAAGAGGGAAAATTGAAAAAAAAACCTCGCTGATAAAATTTACAAAAACTTTTGCAGAGTGCTTAGAAACATTATAATTTTTATCATTAACTTAAATTGATCTTCCAGCGCAATTTTTGACCTGGATCGTGAAAAGTATTTAAAACTGCTCTGTTTAGTTACCTATGCATGAAAAGTAGATGCATTATTTGACAATAAATGGTTAGGTTAGATCTTTAAGAAAAAGTATAGTAAGTAAATTCACTAATTTCGTGGTCCGCTTGACCAATAAATATATTACAATTAATTAAGGTTTTTAGTCGAGATAAAAAAGTCAATGGCACGAGCGGGATTCGAACCCACGATCTTCGGCTAGATACNCGTGGGTTCGAATCCCGCTCGTGCCATTGACTTTTTTATCTCGACTAAAAACCTTAATTAATTGTAATAGTTAGTAAAGTTTTAAGACTCTGAGCATATAATTTGCAATATTTTTTATATATTGTATTGAATTCTTCTTGGATTTGGAGGCAAAGCTCAAGGTTTGGTTAAAAACGTGGGTTGTTATACTGGAAATATGTAATGCGTATTGTAGTCTATTCGCGTCCATCTTTTATAGTTGCCGATAATCCTTAACGCTATGTTTTGAACGGTCTGCATATATTTGTAATTGGTAGCACATTCGACCAGACTGAGGCAGCATGTGTAAGAATAGGCCTTATATAAAGATTAAAGATGAGCTTTTTATTATTAATGATTAACAACGAAGTTTTATTAAAAATAGGAAACAAGCTTTGTATAGCCCTTGCAGTTTTCGAACATTTCATGGTAATATGATAAGTGAAAAGTTTCGGTCGAGAGAGACTCCCAGATATTTGGCATTCTTGGCCCAGGGTAAGGGATTGCTGTTGATTTTGACAAAGTTTTTAATATCAGGTGTCTTTCTGGTAAAAATGATTTTGTCAAAATCAATATCAATCCTCTACCCTGGGCCAAGAATATCAAGTACCTGCAGCACAAATGATTTTGAAGGTTCTGTTGGCGGGGACTGGATCTTTATACGGGGAAAGGATTGCTGCTTGCTGTCTCGTCAGCAAAAGTGGAGAGAATTGTTTCTGGAAGTATAGGACGGAAGATCATTTCAATGCTTCTCGTTAAGATTGGTACTCGGTTTTGTAGAACATTACCAAAAAATAATTATCAACCTGAAGCAAGAAGCTTATATTGACACGATCCAGAAAGGACGAAAATTGCTACATTTCAGCAGACCAATGGTAAAAAGTGAAAATAGCGTTGACGGATCTCCCGTGGAAAATACCCTACGTCTATTTAACATCACAAACCTTTGATGTTGAAACTTTTGGAAAAGGAAAAAATCATATCGGTATCATTTAGGAGTTGAGATTTGTACGATTACCCGCTACTTCCTACGGCTCAGAGACAGTTGTGGCCGGTTAAAACATCTACTCAAATGGAAAAAACCCGTTTTGCAATTTTGGCATTTCGGTCATCTAGAAAAAATAATTCATTAGTGGATTGAAATAAATTTGACCATTGCTTTTTGTCTAATGTCATACTTTTTTAAAATCGAAATCTTACCCATATGACGATTTAAACGTGAATTTTTCTAATAACCGATATGGAATGTTATACTATAGTTCAATTAAATAATCTTTTTATGTAAGGTATTGGTTGAAATGAAAAGGATTTTTACGACCGCGCCAAGGACCGAACAATCGCTCCGGTTTACGAGTGTTTAACCACCACCCACCCCAGTGACCATTCATACAGTCATACCGTTATATAACAATTATTTCAAAAGCAAAAAAAAAGGTTAAAAAAAAATGGCCTCCGAATAAAAAAAAATAACAAACAATTTGCGCTGGTGTCAAAATTCCGATTTGTGGACGGCCAAAAATCTGCCAGGTCTATCACATTATCGGTGAATATGATAGAAACCTCTTATTTTGTAATCCTTTAACAAAAATGTTTTTATATCTACCAAGGTGACGGCGTAAAATCATATTAATTGGTCATAGTTTACATCACCGAATTTCATTTTATACTAATACCGATGTAAACAACTATTCACTTGAAGACTAGACTCGTTTGGCGCACATTCATTTAGCGGTTTGAAAACCCAATGCTGACTTGAGTAATGGCCAAGATCTACAGTCGACAATTCTTTTACCATACCAGTCACTCCTGTTGTCCACAAAGCGTTGAATTTCTACAACACAGACACACGGTTCGAATTCATGGTAGCGAATGAATTGAAATGATCAGGTCTGTGGAATTTATACCATTCTTAAACAATACTGGAGAGAGGATTGCATTCCATGACAGTTCTATCATGTATTATGAGTCAATAAGCGGTGGTATAAGGAAAAAACGGTTTATTACCTTCCAATTCGAATCTTAAATCTACTAGACCGGTTTTTATGTATTCGGACCGTTTGCCACAATAATAGGAGCTTCATCTCGGAACTGCGATAATGATAGTAAATGATTAGGATTAGGCTCAGAGTAGAAATTCTTTTGAACGTTTCCATACATATAGTATAACGCATTATATTTCGTCGTCCGATTGACCAAATAACTTCTTTCAATTAATTCATCTTTTTATGTAAGATATTGGTTAAAATGAAAAAGTTAGTGTCACGAGCGGGATTCGAACCCACGAAATTTCGGCTCAGTACGCCGCTGCTCAACCACTTGAGCTATCGTGACCGAGAGGTTAGAGCAGCGGCGTATAAAAGGA